TTGTGTAAGTGTTTGTGATTGTTCTTAGAGGTTAAATTTGATCGGAAATGAGTTAGTCGGTTTTGAATTTTAAAAGACTGTTGACTACAAAGGGAAAAAACAAAAAGTTGATTCACACATTTTTGTTTTTAAAAATTGTTTTATAAACGAAATTCGATCTTATTTTAGAAAACCGCAAATCCATACTTGGTCTGTTTTGAATCATAGTCGATCCTGGTTAATTCTTCTTTTACTTTTTCCTTTGTTTTTAATTTAATTGATACTTCAAAACTAGCTAAAATGTAAGTTTAAATCATTACTTCTCTTTCTATTTCTTTTTGCTAACTTTTCTGATGCTTTGATTTTCTGTGTGATAAATTTCGAACAGCTTCCTATCGTCCGTTTCTTATGTTTACCTCCGTTTTCAATTTTTCCGTCATCACAATTTTGTGAACTAATGGGGATATGACACGTGGCAGAGGCCCACGAAAAACAAGTCTTTGAAACGGACGACACATTTAAAATCATCGGTTTCATATTTGTAGTCAAAGTTAGGTGTGAAGAGTGGACTCGTTTAGTCAACGTCATTAGCTTTTTGATAATCTTATTACTGCACTAAAAACACGCTAAACAGCGCCGTTTGACTCGATATATGTATTGTACTGCACAATCTTATTATATTAGTATATATGCGTACTTTATATAAATGATTTAAATTAGTCTGGTTTCCACATAAGTAATTCAGTTTGAGTAATATATGTAACTTGGAAAAATTATAAAAACTTATCGTATGCCTAATGGACGATAAGTTTACAAGATCGTTAGTCGGTGATCTTTTCATTCATTAAAAATACACAAACTTCCAAGACTACACAAAATGCAACAACATTTTAAATTTAAGAAATTATTACATCGTACTATATTATTTTTGTTTTCGTCTCACACAAAATCATTTGGTATTTTTAATACTTTGCAATTTTTTAGTAATTTCAGCTTATTAATTAGATAAATGAACTAAAAAATGTATTAACGAAGGATATAATAAAAAAAATTAGCACTTTTAGAAAACATATGTGAAACTCATACAAAGGCTTATTTCCGTACAAACATAATCTTTAACAATAGGTACAAATGACATTACTATCAGATTCAACTTACAATTTTAAAATTGTTCAAAATCTATTGTTATTCTATCGTAGATTGAAGAATTGTGCCTAGTTCAAAATACAAATCTTTTAGTAAAAGACTTAAAAAACTTACCAAAGGTCTCTAGCACTCTTATAATATTTTCAAATTTGAAACTCCCCTAAGTTTAGTCATGACAGAATTTAAATTATTTTGACTTTAGAAAAATGTTTTTCTTTTTCTGCTGGCGCAAGTAAAGAGCCGATATGGTTTATATCAGAAAAGCCAGAAGAGAGAGAGATAAAGAGCAAAGTTTCATTTGTTGTGTAGCTCTTTGTCTCTCGCATCCCAATTTTCAAAAA